ACCACTCGTGATATTTCAAAATTGTCATACGTAATTTCACGAGCCGTCGGGCGAGTGAAATTTGAGACAATTTTGAAATATCACGAGTGGTATTTATGCCAAATGTCACGTACAAATCATGCTATTATTTGTTTATACTACTACCCGCAAAAGGTTTGTAATTTTCACATGTAGGTATTTCAAATTAAGGTGAAATACCACTGCTCTAAGCCAATCAGATTGCAGAAATTTCTCATGTAGTAGTATAAAGGACGTAATTTCCTTTTATAAGTATTTTTAGACTTTCTAGTTACATCTAACAATAACAAAAACGATAGTTAAGGCGTAGGACTACATGTGATTTGGGTTAAGAGCGAAAAAAAAGAGTCTAAAAGCTTAAACGTGTACTCTTTTTTGGAGAGAACTGACTTATAACGATGTTTAACTTAAAAACAATATGAAACTTTACATAAAGAACCCCAAAGGTAGATTGAGTGACAGCTGTTGTTTGCTAAAATAATTTTTGTCACAAGCTGTTGTTTACATCATTTCAAAAAAAGGGTGGAAATAAACGTAATCACAGTAATTCAAAGGCAGTATTCCACATATCAAAACGTGTACCAACCCATCCTGTCACCAGTTTTGTCAAAACTAATAGCCCACACTGTAGACTCGTGACCTTCTAAAGTATCAAAACAAGACCTGCACATTAAAAGAACACACAACGTAACGGTATCAATGCTCTTTACTATACCCTCGTAGTTATCATCGTCACTATCATCAAACTTCAGACCACATGCTTATTTAACAAGCAACCGATCACAACTTTCTTTTGACAACCCTCTTATGAATCAAGGAAATGACGTCAAATCTTCAAAAATATATTTGCGGTGAAACTGCTGAAAATTTTGGGACAATTCAGTAAACTGAAGATACAGTCAAACCCCTACATTACGAGGCCATCCTTTGTTATGTGCTCACTTACCAAAGTCTCCAAAAACATTTCTCATAATTACTGTCAAACCCATGGGCCGAACAAGTTATCTTTTTATTGTCTTCGCCTATGCTTAACGGACACTTTGTCACGAGGGCATTAAGTTGGCCATGTCTTCAGGGTGACCACTATGTTTCCTATCTTGCGAGACGCAAAATGCTCGGGTGACAGTTAAAAAACGGACAAAAAATAAGCATATCCTGTAAGTGTTGTGACAATTTAATCTTTCCAATCGTTATCTTCTTTGTAAAGTTTTATTGTATCGTCGTAGCTGCACGATGCTAAAATCTAAAATCAAGATAAGGGGTTACCCATGACACAAAATTAACTTACAAGGCGAATATGTCTTTAGTGGAATCGGTATGGAATATCAAACACATCACATACTGCTTCTTCGCCGGGAGCTTTTCACTCACAAATTGTAGACAGAGAAACCCTAGACAGTTATGCTAGACTCATAATTACTAACTACAGAGCATTCTCTCTGAGCGATTCTTGTCTCGTACGGTTACGTCTGCCTGTGGTGGCCATTCCTTCCACATCATCCTGTTTAAATAAGTTTTAGCGTTTTCGGCAAAATTAATCCTGGAACCGAGCGGCGTTTTGTTGACCGTGCGAAGCCGGAAACTGACGCCGCGTTGTCATGGGGGGCATTGGTTGAGAGGGTGAGAGTATAGACATCACCACTCACACCTAAGCACAGTAGGCCGCGCTTGAATATTAAAAACAAAAAGAAAGCTTTGCTGTTGGTTTCCTTTTAAGGATGAAAGAGAGTGGTATAGCACGCAACAGGTACTCCTCCAATAAAGCTGGAATGTTCCTTGACAGGCTCATCAGAGCGAGGTAGGATACTTCATTTCAGGGGTATGGTTCGCTTCAACTCGTTTGTCGTTGACCGGCAACCTAGTTGTGCAAGTTTTATTTTTTTTCCGTGCAAATAGTGTTAAGGAGGTTTGGGCAAACTATTCTACTAACACTAACCACCACAGATGTTTGTGACGACTTTTCATCCTGCTTTAGCTTGATTTTGTTTTAAAGAAAACAGGCCATTAAAATGGCACTTATTTATTCTACCCAACGATGATAAGATTCCAACTTAAAAGAAGGGACTTACCAGTGCACCCTATACTACTAAGGTGCTGACTTGCAGGCACAGGTACGTTATTCTAATAACACTAACCTCCACATGTTTGTGAAGATTTTTCCTTCAGTTGTAGCATGATTCTGTATTTAAGAACAAAGGCCGTGACATCTCTGGCGTTCATTTATTCCACCAAACAATAATGAGACCCGAAGTTAAAACATCGGACTCAATCTCTACTTTTCGCCCTCGCTCCCTTCCCCACTGTTTCCTCGTTTGACCTCAGTTCAGCTTTCGCGCGGCTTTGTTTGCTACTTTATGAACAACAAAGAAAAAGCACTCCAAAAAACCACTTGTTTTGAAACTAACCAAGGGAAAATAAATATTTTGTAGGGCATACCTGTTACACGAAGCATATCATGCTTCAAGCATGTCATATTTTACATCGAACAGATAGTGTTAATACACTGATCTCTGTAAATAAAGAGAAGAGAGTAGATGTTTACCATCATATTCATTCTCAGGTGCTGAATAAACATCGTGTTATGGGTCTGAATGGGGTTTAGTGTTAAGTGATATTTGCCTATAATTTTTAGCGTTTTATCGTGTTTTTATGTCGTTGTTTACTGTTCCCGGAGAAAATACTGTTAAGTGTTTAGAGAGCTTTCCGTGAAAAACCCGTGATCTTTTAGATGATTGTCAACTGTTCCTGGAAAATCGGTAATAAACGCTCAAAGGGGCTGTGGCAGTCTCCGGACATTTACCGTCTTCGGCAATCTTGCACAGTCTTTGGAAATCTTCTGAAATTATCGGGAATTGTTGGGAAATGGCCGAAAACCCCTTGATATACTAATCAAAATAATATTAGCCTTTTAGGAGCCGTTTTTATTTCTTTCTCTGCTTTCTGAAAAAATACTGTTTCAGTGAAATGTTATTACTGTTAGTGTTAAAATGCGCAAAATTTAACTGATTCATATATGTTACAGAGCCAAAACAAGTGTTTTAACACTGTTTTTTTTTAATTGACTCTGGTACTCCCATTCAGGCACTCCATTATATTGTTAGTAACATTATATCAGGGGAACCCAAAGACCGAATGTTTCTAAATACGTCAGTAGCGACTCAAATGGTTTTTCTTCGCTTTAGAAGTCAGTTTGGTTAATTTGGAGCTTCCCTAAGAATCATTTATTGGCTCGGAAGTGAACTTATGGCCGTCTCCAAAGTTTAAGGTGGCATTTTCGTCTCATCCGAACCTGTTAGCTACCCTGATGGGTCCGGTCGAAAGTGAGAGGACATGGATCAGCCATCTGACTTTCGTTTGAAAACTCGAGGGGACGTTTTGTCTTCATGCTAAAATTTTTAGGAGTTTTTCAACAATAATCGCAATAGTCTTGGTAATAAAATCTGAGAAAAACTGTAGCAAAACACCTACAAATATCTTAGACGAACGTAACAGCGAGCCTTTCTCGAGCTCTAGAAATTTCTAGGCAGTTAAAAAGTCGTTGGTTGCCCCTGATCTTAAGAACAAATACAAATGAACATGAAAAGCAGGATTAACTACAAAAGCGTCTATCATGTTCCAAAATTAAAAGTAGGTAGCTAGTGCAGCTGAAAAGCGTCCTCGTTGTTCTTGATTATCCCCCTCCATTTTGTCTGATGTTAAGCAGTTCCATTATAACTTTACGGAGATCTTTCTTTCTCCAGCAGTAAACAAAGGGATTAAGAAGCGAGTTTAGAAAAACACAAGACAAAACTATATCGCGCAAGATATCTTTCAATATCCCGTACGTAAGTATTGGCACATACGAAAGAAACACGAGGGCGATAATTATACTTGTGGTTTTAAAGGCTTTCCTTTCCTCTAAGAATTAAGTCTTCCCTTCGCTTGGAAGCTGTTCTGTTTTTATCCGCTTCACATGTCGGCGTGAAACAAAATATACTGTTGTATGACAGTATACGATAATTAGAATGGCTGGCATGACGGTTACATAAATAAACCATTTGGCAAGTAAACGTGTGGCTGGTATTGGATGAAAAATTACAGGGATAACTGAAAATACAACAATCGTTAATCAAGGTGTGGTCACCAGGCTAGAATATCTAAGTGAGTATTTCATAGCTATATAACGCTCGATACTCAGTAAAGCTAACATCAGCAACGATTCAACACTTGGAAAAATATAGAAGAAGACTGCCGTTTTGTAAACGTGGCAATAATCCGCAAGCGATGCACCTGACAGATAGTAAACTTCTTGTGCGATGAATAGTGGTTGTGAAACCAAGCCGACTACCATGTCTGTTGCCGCTAAACGGGCCAGTAGTATGTTGTAGTTAGTCTGCAATGGTCGCCGTGTTTTTATCGCAAAGATAACTAACGTGTTCATGAAGATGANTCGTTGTTCTTGATTATCCCCCTCCATTTTGTCTGATGTTAAGCAGTTCCATTATAACTTTACGGAGATCTTTCTTTCTCCAGCAGTAAACAAAGGGATTAAGAAGCGAGTTTAGAAAAACACAAGACAAAACTATATCGCGCAAGATATCTTTCAATATCCCGTACGTAAGTATTGGCACATACGAAAGAAACACGAGGGCGATAATTATACTTGTGGTTTTAAAGGCTTTCCTTTCCTCTAAGAATTAAGTCTTCCCTTCGCTTGGAAGCTGTTCTGTTTTTATCCGCTTCACATGTCGGCGTGAAACAAAATATACTGTTGTATGACAGTATACGATAATTAGAATGGCTGGCATGACGGTTACATAAATAAACCATTTGGCAAGTAAACGTGTGGCTGGTATTGGATGAAAAATTACAGGGATAACTGAAAATACAACAATCGTTAATCAAGGTGTGGTCACCAGGCTAGAATATCTAAGTGAGTATTTCATAGCTATATAACGCTCGATACTCAGTAAAGCTAACATCAGCAACGATTCAACACTTGGAAAAATATAGAAGAAGACTGCCGTTTTGTAAACGTGGCAATAATCCGCAAGCGATGCACCTGACAGATAGTAAACTTCTTGTGCGATGAATAGTGGTTGTGAAACCAAGCCGACTACCATGTCTGTTGCCGCTAAACGGGCCAGTAGTATGTTGTAGTTAGTCTGCAATGGTCGCCGTGTTTTTATCGCAAAGATAACTAACGTGTTCATGAAGATGATAACGGGACATGATCCTAAATTGATCGCGATAATAGGCAGAGCAGCGAGGCTGTCTTGCTTTTTCGTCAGGCGCGATAAAAGGCAGAGCAGCGAGGCTGTCTTGCTTTTTCGTCAGGCGACAACTAGCGGCAGCATCCTTGTTGTCTGAGGAATTACTGAAATTCATCTTGGCTGCCACGGACTGTCCCTCAATGGTCGACAGTTTTTATCCCCTGTAATACGTCGACAATGTTCGTTCTTTAACGGTCTCTGTTATATGATTCTGAGGATATTAAGCTATGGAGCATTTTCACTCACCTGGCTAACAGGCTATGTAAATTTATTGGAACAAAAGAAAGCTGTCAATGGAACACCTATATGGCCGCCGTTTTGGCACATCAATTTGGCCGACGTGACGTCATATGAAAACCCTCTTTACCCGAAAATGGCTAATGCACTGTCGAATCTGTAAAAACCAACTGCTAGGAAGTGATATAACTAAAACCCGAAGGGACCACAATTGACCCCTTAATTATTTTTCTTGTTGAACAATAAAGATGCGAGCAATGAAAGTTTCAGTTGAAATTTACTTATATCTAACTCAGTTCCGGCATGATTAAAATTAAAGGGACACTCTTAAGTTTTCATGTACTATTTGATTAGTTAACTTAGGGTCTGGGATGGTGTTTTGGCATCCTCGGAAACCCAGGGGCAGTTAGTCGGGTCGATAAAATGTTCGTGGTGAAAGTTTACTGTAAGATCGAGACGAGACGAGCCCCTGGGCACTTACTCTTACCGAACCAGTTCCAGAAGCGTTTGAATTGCCTGCTTCTGATTGGCCAGAAAAAAATTTTTCTGGCCAATCA